AGGCAGCTGAAGTCCCTTCCTCCTCTCTGATTCCATAATTTTGGGGGGGCCTGTTTAGCCTCAGTCTATGCATTTTGTGATTGTTGATGGACTAATTGATACATCACGCACCCTGGATGTCTGGAACCGGGAGTGTTCATTCTGTGTCTCAGCCACGAAATTAGTGTACCTCCCTCAACACACATGTAAGAGCTCCTAGCACATCTCATCTATAAAACACAGAAGGGATTGAGAGAAATGAGACCCTTGTTTGTTTTCCCTGCCTTCTTTCCACTGCATAAAGTACACAGAGGGTAAAAAATAGATACGAAAATAAATAAGTCCACATTCCTTACTGTTCACCTGGTATGAACCACCATTTGCTCACCATAAAAAATTGGCTATTTGTAAATCTGGCCTAGAGACGATCTGTGTGGGTCTGGTTGGTTCAAGGGGAAGAAGAAGATGCTGAGCTTTCTTTTACGGTCTCTTCCACAATAAAACATTTTTAAATGAAACATAAATCCTGGGCAGAAAGGTTGTTTTAGCCATGACTCAGGCAGGCCGTTCAAACAGATCTCTGGGGATTGGCTTGGGGGCCTTTCCCCTTTGCATTGCACAGGTAAAAGTACATGCTGCTTTCCGTAAATATATTTAATTGGGAGTCACTCGAAGAAATCGATGGGTGTGAGTGGGATACAGCATTTCACTAATGATTGATTAAGAGATATCATCAAAGAGATTAAGTAAAGAAAAAGGAAGTGGGCAGAACATAGGGTGATGTGGCTGGAGTAAGTCATTAGGGATTAACCCTTGTCCTGTTGGCATCCATGCGATATCAAGGAAAGAGCTTGGTGTGTCAGGAGCACATTCTGTGCAGAGCGTGGACAAGAGTTCTGTAGGGTGGAAGACCTTGGTTCACACTCTGTACCAGTGAGTCTAGGAGATCACAGGTCTGCTGAAGTCCATGCTTTTTGACTTCCTCAGCACAAATGCAAACTCTCCCACCCACACTTGGGTTCCTCCTCTGTATGAAGATCTGGACCTCTCTTTTTCAAATCTCTTTCCCCTCTTACCTGAAACTCATTATTTCTAAAATTGGGCTTTCTCTCCCCTAAAACCTGCTCCACTTTCTGAAATCTGCCTCTGTTGCTGTCAGGTTGACAAGCATTTATTAAGCACCTACTATGTGCCTGGCACTATACTTAGCTCTGGGAATACAAAGAAAGAGAAAAGACAGTTCTTGCTTCCAAGAAGCTCACATTCTAATGGAAAGAATGGCATGAAAACAACTGTATACAGACAAGATATAGATAGGATCAATTGGACATCCTTTTCAGAAGAAAGAAGGCCCAGGAAAGGCTTCTTGCAAAAAGTCCCGCCGTTCTACTAGTCAACCCAGCTGGTAAAGCCAAGGTCATCTCAAGCACTCTTGTCTCCTTCGCCCTCCATAGCCATTTGGTGTCGCTCCTCTCCAGCCCACTCTTTCGTACCCACTGCTATTGATCTGGTCTGAGACCTCATTACTTCTTCCATAGATTATTTCAGCAACGTCTTAGTCAATTTTATTACCTCTAGTATAAAGACAGTCGAGGCCATCTGAAACCACTCAAAAAAGGAACCAGAAATAAAACTCATGGCCTCAAATGTCTGTATACAAATGCTGGCAGGTTGTTCACGGGAAGCATGAAGACAGGGGCTCACGAGCTACAGTGTTAGGAGTGTAGATCTGCTAAAACCCATGGTAGTAGTCAATCCTCTGAGGACCTAACCCTCAAGTTTGAGTGCAGAGGGAGGGAGGAAGGGTAAGAGACCGTGTGTCAGGCACTATGCTGCTTGCCTGACAAATGTTTCATTTGATCCTTATGATAACCCTGGGAAGTAGGTGTTATTATGAAACCCATTTTATAGTTGAGAAAAGTAAGGCAGGCAGAGTTTAATTGACTCATCCAGGGTCACATAGCTACTTAGTATCTGAGGCTGGATTTGAACTCAGATCTTCCTGACTCCATGCCCTGTACTATATCTACTGTACCACCTAGCTGTCCATGAGACTTCATTGATATAGAACCAGTTAGTAAACATTTACAAAGCACCTACTATGTGCCAAACACTGTACTAAGCACTAGGGATACAAAGAAAGGGAAAGCTTAGAGTCATTAAAAAAACACACACACAAAAAAAACTCAATGCAATATCCCAAAAGAAATCCAACTAAGTCTCCTCATGCAATTATGGATCGAAATCATTGTCTAGACACAATATACACACCGTGTGTGGGGGGGGCGGGGTTAATCAGTCAATTAGGTAGTCATTATCCCACTTTCCAGTTCTGGAAACATAATTAAAAAAACATTATTCCCAGAGAGGGTAGGTGTGCCTACCTATTTCCCTAGAGTTCCCTTCACTGTCCACCTTACTTTGTGAATCAAAATATCTCTTCCTGCCCACCACTTCCCTATGTATCTTGCCTCTCCCTATTAGAATGCTTTTGTATTTGTAATAAAGGATAGTACTCACGTTCCAGTCAAGGGGTGGTGCACTCAGACTACAGAATGAGACCTACATTTTTGAGCACTGGAAATGCATGGATTTATGCTTTTGCACTCATTCATTTAATCTCTAATTATATGGATATTTTTAGACAAAAATCATGACAAGTGACAATGTTGTTGGATAGCAGCTTCAAACAACATAGAAACACAAATGAACATTAACAGGTTTCCAAATGCAGACCATGGTTGTTGTGGCTGGGATGGATTTTTACACACACACACACACACACACACACACACGCAGAGTCATCATCATCATCATCATCCATCAAAAGTGTTACGTGGGTGAGACGGGCAAACGAGACCAGGGATGCTGGCTTTCTGGGTCATATCCCAGGGAAGAAGGGGTTAGAAAAGAGGGCTGTGGACTGGATCCTGCCTAGCTCACCAACCAACCACCTGACGTTTCTAGACAATCTGCTTTCTGTTCCTCGGGCCAGTCTCAATTTTCTCCACTTTGATCAGTTCTGGTCACAACCTCAGCTCCAGTCTCCTCCTCTTCACCATCTTCTGCTTGTGAGAACAAGATAAGCCACACCTACCAGACATTACTCTTTTCCCTGCTGCCTTGGGCTAGTAAGCAAGGGGCGCTCCAGACCAACATGTGTGCCAGCCAGTGTGGACTCCCAGAGCAGGGCTCCTTCCTCCTTCTGTAGCTGCCTGGGTTCTGCTCTGAAGTCTCATTTAAAGTCAATAGTATCCGGAATGACCTGCAGCTTTGGTCGACCTACCCCCATGCCGCCATCCTTCAGTCTTCCTGCATCTCACAGACATCTGTGGGGGAGGAGTTACATTCCCCAAAGGCATCACTGGTTCCAAAAAGAACTCATTTGTACAATTTTATAGAGGAGGCTCGCAGAAGCACAACCTCACGAAATAGTGAGAACCAGTGGACAGGAGGGAAATCATTTATAGAAAGCTTAGCCTAACTTGCCAGATTATACTAAGGGCATTTAAGGATGAAGCTGGAAAGATGACCACAAATATGAAAAGTTAAAAAGATCTGCCATGATCATTTTGGCTTGATTTAAATTTTATTTTATTTTTATTCTGAACTTAACAAAAAAAAATTTTTTTTGAGGGAGAGGGGAGAAAAAGCCCATGTATACAAAGAACAGAAAAATAAGATTCTATGGGAAACTGAATCTTTGTAGTACATAGAAATATAGAAATATATTCTTATGTACATATATATTCTTACATGTGTATATATGTGTATATGCGTATATACATATATATGTGTACCTACACATAGCAGCAGCAGCAGCTAGCATTTATTAAGCACCTGCTGTGTGCTAGGCCCCATGCTAATAAGTGCTAGGGATACAAAGAAAGATTAAACAATAGTCCCTGTTCTTAAGGAGTTCACAGTCTAATGGCAGAAACAACATGCAAAGTCTATACAGCATAAATGGGAGGGAATCTCATTGGGAAGACACTTGTAACCCCGCCCCCCCAACACACGGTGTGTATATTGTGTCTAGACAATGATTTCGATCCATAATTGCATGAGGAGACTTAGTTGGATTTCTTTTGGGATATTGCATTGAGTTTTTTTTGTGTGTGTTGTTTTTTTAATGACTCTAAGCTTTCCCTTGAATCAAAGACCTGTCTTTTTAATATCTCCTCTCCTGTCTGGGCCTCAGTTTCCTCATCTATAGTAGGACGGGGTTAGATAGGTGGCCTCCCAGTTCCCTTCCAGCTCTAGCTTTGGGATCCCACAAGTGAAGAATGAAGGACAATTGCATCCCCATGCAACATCAATGGTTCCAGAAGAAGGCCTCCAGCATGGAGGATAGATGGAGCCCGTATGGAGGATTTGCAGCACTCCCGGGCCAAGCATCACATTGGATGAGAATGTATTGGATGAGAAGTTTCACCTGGGAAGCAGGTGTTATTATCCTCATTTTACAGATGAGGAAACTGAGGCTAAGAGAAATTAGGTGACTTCAGCCCATCTCACATGAAGCCTTACCAAGGCTAACCCCTCTAGTGGCCCTCTTGTATCCAGCCTCCTCCATCACTCTCTTCATTGACTGCCCAGGGCCACACAGTAAGTATCTGAGGCTAGACTTGAATGTGGGTCTTCCTGACTCCACGCACAGCACGCTTATTGACTGCCCACCAAACTGCCCCACATGAAAAATCCCATTTCCAAAATTTACTAGCTGTAGAATCATAGAAGTCACTTGAACTCACTGACCTTCAGTTTCTTCATCAAAAAAAAAAGGGGGGAAATAGGTCTTATTCATTAAATGTTCACTGAACAAAACTGATTGCTTCTCAACTCTCTAAGCATGGCCAGGAGACACAATTACTGCTTAGGATTTTCCTTTTCTGTTTAATCTAGATATTCTAGAGCCTTCTCTCCTAGCAGCCCTAATCATAGTTCCCAAGGAAAAGAAAATGTTTTCTTTAGCTTTTCTACAAAGGCATACAGAAATGGAGAACATCATTTTTTGTTAAAATTTTTAATTAAATTTATTTTCTCTCCCATCGCCTCACAAAACAAACCCCTCTTTTTTCTAACACACAGCCACAGAAATAAAATTCTCGTATTGACCACGTCCAAAGCCTATCAGTCTCCCTCTGCACCCCGAGTCACCGACTCTCGGGCAGGAGGTGGGTGGCACACGCCATCCTCCGTCCTCGGCAGTCCAGGCTGGTCATTGTGTCGTTCAGAATGGTCCGGTTGTTTGTTGTCTATACGTTGTTCTCCTGGTTCCGGTCCTTTCGCTCGGCGTCGGGTCCTAGGAGCGAAAGAACCAGTCCTGATATTCTCCTTCTGTCTCCGATGAGCAGCTTGTACTTCTCGGCCAGAGGTTTATCGGGTGTGCCTCTGGAGAAGGAGAAGGGGCCCTCCACAGGCTGGGGGTGGATGCGTTGGGGGTGGGTGGGGAATGTGTCTGCGCCATCTCTGTTTCGGCTCCTCTTCTAGCCTCTAATGACTCAGCAGACTGGTCATTCTTCTGCCTTGCAGAATTACAATAATGGAGTGGGGAAGGAAGAAAAGGGCAATCTCATTTTTTTCTGAGTTTCTTTTCCAAAGAACAGGCAGCAAGCGGTTGCCAAGAGCGTCTGTGCTAGTCCTAGACAGTGAATCCTTTCCCTGGACTCAGAGCCTGGGCTCTGGTTTCAGGCCTTAATAAAGAATCCAGTGAAGCTGGGACACCTTTGGCCAAGGAGGGGCAGAGCTTTTCTCTGGTTAGCAGGCTACAAGATGCGTTCCTGATGCGTAGCCCCAGCCCTGGCTTCCGTGGAAGCCGGGGTGCAGGGGAGGTCCCTGGAACTGGAGAAACAGCAGCGAGTGGCCTGATTCAGTACTGGCTGGGGGCCACTGCTGTTGCTGGCGGTGGCAGGAGAATTTTTCCATGCAGAGGAAGAGGAAAAATCAGATGAGGTTTCCCACAGGCATGGGCCATTTTTATGCAGGCTGGTCGGGTCCTGGCATTTCCCAGCAGGTAGGCAGTGGTCTTCAAGCCCTGGGCTAACCCTAAGAAGAGGCAGAATTGTTGTGTGAATGGTTCACATAGGGGTGCCACTTACACAGCTAATGTAGTAACACACAGCTGGAACGACATGCTGCCAAGCAAGCCTTTAACTTGGGGTGCTGCCATTGAGAAGGGGCATGCTTCCTCCAGTGGGGGAAGGGAAAAGAGGTTTCTGGAAGTAGCACTCTCCACGGTGCCCACCACCCCCATTCTTTACTTGTTGCTGCCATGGGCTCCCTGACTGCCCCAAGAAATCCCTGTCTCCAGAATCCCATCGACACCTCATCCCTCTCCCTCTTATGGGAACTTCTCCACTATCCCCTGAGGCGTCAAGGGTCAGGCTGCTCCTTCTCCCAATGTGACTGCACCTGTGTGTCCTCTGAGCCAAGACCCCTCCAATTGTTTTCCTTTTCCTCACATAGAAATATTCCTACTTGCATGTTTATTGTTTAAATACTCTCTCTCAAATATTTCCCCTGCAAACTTTACTCCTTTACTCCAACATTTTTTCTGAAATTTCACCACTGAAAGTCATTCCTTTGGGTGGAGACTGAATTAGTTTCCTGTTGAAATGCACCTATCCCTCGCAGAGGATTGTTTGGAGCATAGGTTGAATTGAAGCGGAGAGTGAGTCCCTAAACCCATATAGTCACCAAGCATTGTCATGTTGATCTTTATTTAGCTCCAACAAAAAATATACAGAGTGACTCAGAATAATAAATAAGCAAACATACCATCTGTAGACCATATAAGTAAAGTCTCACAAATATCTATCTCACTATTTTTCACACATATGTGTGTTGTCTTTAACAAAATGCCAATCCTTTTAAAAGAGATAATGAATTCATGGTATCTTTTTGTCATTAAGTATTTTTCTCAATCAATAGTTGCGAATAACATGGTTGTTATTCTTATGATTTGGGGGCTTCTCGTCAGTTCTTACCTTAAAAAAGATGTTAATACTTGAAAAGATGAGGAAGGATTCTGAAGTCATTATCAGAATAAATAAGTGGTAAAAGAGAGAGACTGAGATAAAGGCAAGACAAATGAAGGAACCTTGTGGGAAATGTTCTCAAGAGGCAGAGAAAGCAGAAAACCTAGAACCAGCCTACCTAATTCTGGGAATCTGTTCCTCCTTTCGTAGACCCACAGATGGCCATCATCTCTGGCATTAGTCTTCTCTCCTGGTCATGGCAAGTCTGACTTCTGGGTCTTTAGAATGCCAAGCAAGGTTAATTTGTTAAAAAAAAAATGGGGGAAGCTAGGTTGAGAAGTGGATAGAGAACTAGCTCTGGAGTCAGGAGGATCTGAGCTCAAATCCAACCTCAAACATTTGACACTTATTACCTAAGTGACCCTGAGCAAGTCACTTAACCCCTATTGCCTTGCAAAAATAAATAAATAAATAAAAAGCAAAAAAGTTTTCAAGATAAATTTAATTCATATCTTTTGTTTTTACATCATCTACAATTTACATCCTCTACGATTCTGTTGTACACACACACACACACACACACACACACACAGCCATTTCTTATAAAAATGGAATTTTCATAAACAGGAAAAAAACAAAAAACAAAACTGCTACAAAACTAACCGATATGCCAAAAAAGTCTGCCCTCATATGCAGAATTGCACACCCACAGCAACTCCCCCCCCCACTCCTGCAATCTAAATGAGAGAGGAAGTATCTTCTCACCTTTCTTCTTTGGGGCCAAGCTTGGCCAGCATAATTCCACAACATCATTGTGATCATTTGATTTTATTGGTTATAGTGTTTTCCTGGTTCTGCTTACTTCACTTTCCATCATTTCATATCTTTCCTAGCATCTCTATAGTTTCTATATTCGTTGTGCAGCAACATTCCACTGGGGGCAGCTAGGCGGTGCAATGGATAGACCTGAAAATCAGGAAGACTCATTTTCCTGGGTTCAAATGTGGCCTCAGATACTTCCTAGCTGTATGACTCTGGGCAAGTCATTTAACCCAGTTTGCCTGAGTTTCTTCAACTGTAAAATGAGCTGGGGAAGGAAATGGCCAACCACTCCAGTATCTCTGTCTAGAAACCCCCCCAAAAAAGAGGTCACAAAGAGCCAGATACAACTGAAATGGCAAAACAACAATAACATTCCATTGACTTTTTGGGCTAATCTATCACAATGCTAATTCACTGAGCCAGCGATCCCCTAAAACCTCAGCTCATTTTCAAATGAACTGCTCCATGACCGCGTTTTGCCCATCTTGTACTTGGAAACTTGGGTTTTTGGACCCAGATGGAGGCCTTTGCATTTATTCCTATACTCATCTTCCAAACAGACCTTCCCGAACGCTGCCTTTGTTAGCCAATGTGTTGGCTTTCACTTCTAGAATGGTCTCTCCTACCAACTTGAGAAAACTGCTGTCTATGCCTTTAACCAAGGCACTGATAAAAATCGTGACAGCAGGGCCAAGCACGGACCCCTGGGGCTTTGCCAAGTGCAATACCTTGCATGAAAGAGTTGCTCAATAAATATTTGATGTTTGATGAATGACCATCATCATCTGTGATGATTCCTGTTGCTTTGGGGTGAATTATTTCCCCCAAAGTATAAAAATAACCCATCATGTATATGATTCCTAATTTATCTTTTTAACAAGAAGGGAAAGCAGGACACACCCATGTCTAAAACTGGATTTGAACTAGCACGAGGTTGTGAATAGAGCCCTAGGCTTGGAATCAGGAAGACCTGGGTTTGAATCCTCCCCAAAACACCTCCTTGTTTGAGACTTGTTTGATCTTGCCTGCATGACTTTGGGCCTCAGTTTCTCATCTACAAAGTGAGGGGGTTAGACGAGATGGTCCCTAAGGGCCCTTCCATCTCTAAATCTATGGTTCTGTAAATTCTTTCACAGAATCAAAGAATATAATGTCTGAGCAGTCATCTGTCCAACTTTTCAACTTATAAGCAAGGAAACTGAAGGCTGGGGAGGTTAATGGATTGTCCAGCAGAGGTTGTATAGGTTGGAGGGGCAGAATGAACAAGGTCTTGGCTGGAAAGTCAGGAAGACCTGGGTTTGAAGCTCATCCTGGTCACTTTCCAGCTTTACGACCCTGAATAGGTCACCTAACTCAACGAGTCACTGCAGATAGGAGTGTTCATAACAGCACCTACCTCACAAAGCTGCTGCAAAATTCCAGTAAGATAAATGATGGAGTGCTTTCCAAACCTTAAAACCTATTTAGGTATCCATAATTATTCTTCTTTTTCATAGCAGAGATGGAATAGAAACTCTATTTTCCTTATTCCACTTTTTTGCTCATTTCTTACTTTAAACAGGCTCCCAAGTAAATGCCTCAAATTGGAACCGTCATTTCTAGAATATGTATGTGTGTGTGTGTGGGGGGGTGTTGTGCATGGTGTGGGGTAGGCTGTATATGTGTGAGTGGATTGTTGTGAATGTGCGGGGGGGTGTTGTGTATTGTGGGGGGGGGGGTCAGGTATATGAATGTATGGGCCTGGAGGTTTCCATATGCAGAGACTGGCTTATCTTTGAAAAGCATCCAATGGGGGAGCAGCTAGGTGGCTCCGTGGATAGAGCACTGGCCCTAGAATCAGGAGGACCTAAGTTCAAATCCGACCTCTGACACATAACACTCACTAGCTATGTGACTCTGGGCAAAAATTGAAAAGTGAGGGAATGCCTATCAATTGGGTAATGGCTGAACAATCACCCCAATTGCCTCACCAAAAAAAAAAAAGTATCCAATAGAATCTTCTGAGATGCTCAGAAGACATGATCCAGGACTTCAAACAATAATCAGTGTTGTTGATGTTTAAAAACCTTATTGGGTTAAAAAATAAGTTCAAATACAATTGAATGAATAAAATTCTCCCAATCTGAACTCAAGATCTGAAGCCCTGTACAAAATGTTATATTTATTCCCGTTCAATTTCATCTTAGTAATAAGAAAGCTCACATTCATAAAGTGCTTTAATATTTGCAAAGCACTTTCCATAGGTTACCCCATTTGATCAGGAAGAACAACAAGCCTATGAGGGAGCTGCTATTAATGTCTCTGTTTATACAGATAGTGAAACTGAGGCTGAGGAAGGTTGAGTGAGTTGACTGTGGCCACACAACTAATAAATGTCTGAGGGAAGATTTGGCTTCATGTCTTTCTCAGTCTATGTCCAACACTCCATCTCTTTTGCCATTTATTCAATCCAATATGGCAGCCAAATATTGTGGTGGGATCCCTAGCTGTGTTAGGAGACATGGTTTCCAAGAAAAGGAAAATGATGGTGCCACTATATTCTGCCTTGGTCAGACCATGTCTGGGGTATTATGTTCAGCTTCAGGCATCATCATAGTAGAGGAAGGACATGAATGAAGTGGAAGCCATCCAGAGGAAGGCACATCTCATTCGACTGAACTCCTTAGAATTCTCCATCATGGCCCCAAGACCCTCACTATTGGGAGCCAGGGAGTACTTTGGTTTGAAAGTTAGCCAGATGGAGAGTGTAAAGATTGAGGTGCCCTCTCCAAGCAGCTTTTTTTTCACTTCCAGGCTAGCCCTCCATTACCTGTGCCACCAAACTGCTTCAGTATCTCTTTTTAACCAAATGTTGACTTGTTAGTACAACAAACATTTATTATGTGACTAATAAATGCATAGCCTAGTATTGGCATCTGAGAGATATATAAATTTTAGATGAAAAATGCCTGCCTTTGGGAAGTTTACAGTCCTTTCTTAAAAGTACATGTCAAGAACTCACTATTTAACAAAACCTGAGGGGAAAACTGGAAAATAGTACGGCAGAAACTAGGCATATACCAATATCTTACACACTATACCAAGATAAAGTCAAAATGGGTACCTTATTTAGATATAAAGACTGATATTATGAGCAAACTAGGATAGCAAAGAATAGTTTACCTGTCAGATCTATGGAGAAGGGAAGAACTTATGACCAAATAAGAGATAGAGAACATGAAATACAAAATGGATAATTTTGATTACATTAAATTGAAAGGGTTTTGAAGAAACAAAGCCAATGCAACCAATATTAAAAGGGAAGCAGAAAACTGGGAAACAATTTTTATAGCCAATGTCTCAGATAAAAATCTCATTTCTAAAATATGTAGAGAACTGAGTCGAATTTATAGGAATGCAAGTCATTCTCCAATTGAAAAATAGTCAAAGATATGAACAGGCAGTTTTCAGAGGAAGAAATTAAAGCTATCTATAGTCATATGAAAAAATGCTCTAAATCACTATTGATCAGAGAAATGAACATCAAAACAACTCTGAGGTACCACATCATATCTATCAGATTGGCCAACATGACAAAACAGAAAAATGATAAATATTGGAGAAGATGTGGGAAAATTGGAACACTAATGCATTGTTGGTGGAGTTGTGAACTGATCCAAACCATTCTGGAGAGCAATTTGTAACTATACCCAAAGGGCTATAAAATTGTGCATACCCTTTAACTCAGCAATACCACTTCTAGGGCTGTATTCCAGAGCAATCGTACAAGTGGGAAAAGGACACAGCAGCTTTTTTGTGATGGCCAAGAATTGGGAATTGAGAGGATGCCCACCAATTGGGGAATGGCTGAACAAGTTGTGGTATATGGATGTAATGGAATATTATTGTGCTATAAGAAATGATGAGCAGGCCAACTTCAGAAAAACCTGGAAAGACTTATATGGACTGATACTGAGCAAAATGAGCAGAACCAGAAACCAGAAACATTGTACAGTAACAAACACACTGTGTGATGACTGATCTTGAAAGACTTAGCTCTTCTTAGCAATGCAAGGATCTAAGACATCTCCAAAAGACTCACGATGGAAAATGCTATCCACATCCAGAGAAAGAACTTTGGAGTCTGAATGCAGATGGAAGCAGACTATTTGCTTTCTTTTTCTTCTGTTGCTTTGTTTTGTTTCTTCTTTCTGGTGGTTCCTCCCATTAGTTTTAACTGTTCTTTACATCATGACTAATGAGAAAATATGTTTAATATGAATGTATAAGTAAAGCCATCAAATTGCATGCCATCTTGAAGAGGAGAGAGAAGAGGGTGGGGGAGAAAATTTAAAACTCAAAATCTTATGAAAGTGAATGTTGAAAACTAAAAATTAATAATTATTTTAAAAAATGTTATGTCAGAGTGATCACACTGTTGTCCAGAGGCTGTCTAAGAAACAAAAAAAGTCTATAGCATAGCCTTGGCACAGCATCACTGATGGATGTCACTGCAGTCCCCTACCACCATCTTCAGGTTCATCAGCTATTCAGTCACTGCCTGTTTCCCTACAGACCTCCCCTAGTGAGACAGGATTAGATGTATGTCATTAGAAAAGCTCGAGTAATTACTATAGAATGAAAGGGATATGGCAAGAAATACAAATCAACCAGCATCCATTCTTGCCATCCATTCCCCCAACTTCCCAAATTTCTGGGGCATGTGGTCTGGGAGCCACCTTGGTTCTACTTTCCATTAGGTTTCATCATCCCTCGAGAGGAATGTAAACTCTTAGTGCCTTGACATAATAGATACCTAATTAATGCTTGCTGAATTGAGTTCATTTGAATCAATTCAGTATAGTCGTATAGCAAAACTGAAAAAGTGAGCTTGCAGTTTCAGTCTCTGCACATACTTCCATCTGCCGTGTTGGGCTACAGCGAAGGGAAGTTGGCCAGCAGTTTAATCCAAGAGCCTCAAGGGAGAGAAGATTTTTCATCTCAGCACCAGATCTGTAATGAACTGGAGTCTTATACCTCTGGCTTCTCAGGAGAAGAAGCCCAGCGAGGAAACTGTCTACAGCTGAGGCTTTGCAGTGTGGAAGAGGGGAATCCTCCTGTTAGTAGGGGCCGAAATTGGGTACAGCTTTGGGGCATCTTCCTTGGATCCAAGAAAATGTTATCCTCCCCCTTCTTCCAGCATTCTCTGAAAATCTTATTTATCTCTCTCCTGAGGATTCTCACCCAGCCTCCCCCCAGGTTTTCTGCATTCACTCTCTTCAAACAGTTCATGGCTGGGAAGCATCATCACCAGCTTCATTTCATACAGGTTTTAGAGAGATGTAAGCTCCCAAGGAGAAGACATCCTTCGTCTGGAAATGGTCGATCACTTGATCCTAGGTATTTGTGGTCCTCCTCCCGCTCTTTCTCAATCCCTTTGTAGAATCACCGCCTCAACGTCTCAATTACCCTAAAGCTCTTTTCTTTCCTGTTGGACCTCCTCAGAAACATCTGTATCTTTAGCCTTTAGGACCTTACGTAGGCCCTGAGTCCCACATTGCCTGCTGGACATCTCTTTGATGTCCCATAGACTCAAGATATGTATAACAGAGTTTATTGCTTTTCTTCAAATGTACCATCATTCTTCCACCCTCCCTGGTTCTCAACATCAGCATCACTCTGAACTTTTATGTTAGGGGAGGGTGACGCCCTCACTCACAGTTGATTACTCCTGCCACATCTGTTTCTACAACCTTTCCAACCTCTCCCCTTCTCTCCACTGACATGGCTGCAGTCCTGGTCCAAGCCCTCATCACCTCTCACCTGGAGTATCACGATAGTCTCCCAATTGGTCTCCTCACTTCCAGACTCTCCCTTCTTCCATCTCTCCCCATCCCATGCCTGCCACACGGATATTCCCCAAACCCAGTTCCAATCATGACCCATCGCTCCCTTCAGGGGCCTCTCACATTAAGCATGAATGCCTCTGCTTGGTTTTTCTTTCCCTTTGTACTCTGGCTCCAACCCGTCTTCGTAGCCTGATTTCATTGTACACCCCCTCACGCATTTTTATATTGCAGCCAAATTAGCCCATTCACGGATCACAGTACACAGCGTTCAATCTTTCTCCTTCTAGCATGAGTTTGTCCAGGCATCCCATTCATCACCTCATGACTCCCTTCGAGGCCTACCTTCTACCACAGTCCTTTCCTGAATCCCTCCATGGTGAGCCCCCACTCCCAAGCCTTTGCATTGTTTTTTGTCTGTATTATGATTTTATTTCCCCTTAGCAAATGTGGGCTCCTTGAGAATGGGGGCTATTTCATTTTTGCCTTTAAAAACGAAATGCCTGACAAAGAGCCCAGCACGTAGTAGGCATTTTATAAATGTTTGTTGAATTGAATTTATGCTGAGAAAAGAGGAACTAAGTGACTTGCATCAATAGCCAGTCAGCTTCCCAGGAGAATATTTATCCAAACCCTTTGCTGGAGCAAATAACACCAAGTTGGCAGTTAGAAACTATTGAGGGCAACCCCAAAGCGGGGGGAGCCATTAGGACAAGCTGAGCTTAGCTGAGGTCACTCTTGAAGGGGCCCAAGAAGATGCAAATAGTCAGAATTTACATAAACTACTTGAATCGTAACCAAAAATAATTTCAATACAACGTCATTTGATTCAGTCCCACAGAGGGATTTTAGAAGCCAGTGAATCGGATCCCTTTGTTTTATAGAAGAAGAAACTGAAGTCTGGAGAGGTTACCTAAGTGACTTGTTCAAAGTTACCCAGTACAAGTATTATCACCCCTATTTTGCAGATGAGAAAACTGAGGCTCAGGGAGCTTGAGACAGCTATAAGAGCTGACGTTCAGGGGTGCAGAGGAAATAGGGACTGGGCCTGTGATTTAATTAGCATAGGGCACTCTTGGATGGGGACGTGCACTGTGCCAATGCAAGTTGGCACCTTCTCTGTAATTGTCTTGTCTTTGAGAGTTGCCAAGAGCCCTGAGTGTGCTTTATGTGATTTGTTCAGAATCACACAGTGCCCTCGAGAGATGTCTTCAAGCAAAGGATGGGAATGACTTCTTGAGTGTGTTTATCAGGGGCCGCACATGCCAGAGACAGAACGCCATCCGGGCCCTGCTGCCTCTTTAAGGTTAGCAAACCCATTAACATACATGGCATCCCAAAGGTCTTAGCACAGTTATAAGCCATTAAAGTTATTTAATTATATTGTATATCATGCACAATATTAATATGTAATCTTCCATAATATAGATGCAATAATCATGTCATAGAAGCTACTTAATCTATTTTTAAAAAAACTTTAAATTGCACTAAGACTTTTAGGACACTATGTACACTGTCCCATTCAATCTTCATAAGAGTGTGGTGGGGGAAGTACTATAGGTATCATTATTTCCATTTTACAAAAGAGGAAACTGAGGTTTGGAGAGGTTAAGTAATTTTCTCAACATCAAACAGCCAGGACATGTTAAAGCCCACATTTGAACCTAGGCTCTAGAAGTCAGTGCTCTGTCCACTACTCCATTAGCATTTCTGATTCCGCAGGACTTTAGGGGGAACTACAGCTCTAACTAGGGTTGGGCAGCTGGGGTTTTGTCCCAAGATGCCCCTATCAGGTGCTAGCAGCACTTACACTTGTTCAACAGTACTGAGACTCCTGAATTAGGGAAGATAATTAGTTAAACAGGAAGCTGCCAGGTCGTACAATTCTTTTACAGGCCTGCAGCATCTTACATGAACTGCTCCATCCCCGAACCCAGCAGAGTGACTTGGCTTGTTCTGGGGTCTCTAGCTCTCAGCATCCCCTGTTATTCACTCTCTGGAGCAGCCACAAAGGCTTGCATGCTCTTCCTCATACATGATACGTCATCTCCGTACCCCTGTGCTTAAAACGTCTCCCTTCTTGTCTCTGCCTCTTGAAATCCCTGGATTCCTTCAAAACTCTGCTCAGGCTTCTGGTGCCCCCTCCCAAGTCTACCCTGTATGTACAGGGCATATATTCCGTGCATACTTATATATGGACATCTTGTCTCCCCCTTAGACTCTAACCTCCTTGAGGGCAGAGACCACTTCACTTTTGTCTTCCTATCTCTAGGCATTAGCATAGCGCCTAGCACATAACAGCTGTTTAACATGCCTCTCGGTTGACTGATCACCAGCTGAATTTATTGTGGAGCATTGATGTGATGGGGCATTTCATACTGACTGTTTCAGGCACAAAACTGCCAGTTACGTCCTTGTCTGGGAGTACAGAAAGAAACAGCACGAGATCGGGGGAGATTATCAGGAACACAAAAACATTTCACAAAACCACAGAATCAAAGACTGCATGAGACCTCACCAGCCATCAAATTCAGCTTCTGCCTGACCAAGAATCCCTGCTGCAACGTACCAGTATGGAATCTGCCAGGCTTTTCTGGAGGACAGCTATCGAGGGCAATCTCACCAGCAGCCTGAGATAGCCAGTTCCCCCTCTGGGCAGCTTTAGCTGCTGGAAAGGTTTTTCTGGAATCAGAACTGAAATTTGCCTCATTGCCAGTCTAACCGCTATTCCCAGTTTTGCCTTCTTGTACTCAGCAGAGGAAGACTCATTTCTCTTCCGCATGACGGTCCTTCAGCTATACACATACCTCCCTCATACGGCTTGTTCTCAATAGCCTTCACCATCTTGGTTCTCCTCCTCTGGGCACCCTCCTAGCTTATCAATGTGTTCTATGCAGCCAAACAGAAAATTTGTACAGGTTTGGGTTCTGGTGCTTCCATTGACTCTCTGTATGACCTAGGGCGAGGCGCTTAAACCCTTTGGGCCTCAGTTTCCTCATTTATCAAATGAGGGGGCTGGACTAAATGCCTTCCAGCTCCAGATCTAAGATCTGATGATTTTATGGCTGTCCTTGTTGAATTTCCCATAATTCAATGCAGCCAACGTTAAATCCAGTTGAGATTTCTTTTATATCTTGAATCTGTCATCTGGTATATAAGTTATCCTTCGTGGCTTTGTGCCATCGGCAAATTGGGGTCTGGGGGATTGTTTGTTTTTCATTTGTTTTGTTGATGACTGTTTTCTATGCCACCATGATTTCCCTATCTACTTCTCCAGCCCACTTGCACACTCCCTTTCACCGAGAAAGGCCATTTTACTAAATTGACCAACAAAGAGACTGCATCTGACAATCTACACGATGTCCTACATAAATTATTCTGCACTCACTGTCTCCCACTTCTCAACAAAAATGGCCTTCAGCTGGATAAATGTATCATCTATGCCTTTAATCAAGTCATTAATAAGAATGGCCCAAAGCCGAGAGCAGTGCCTTTGGGAGCTCCATTAGTGACGTCCTTCCAAGTTGACATTGAGCCATTACCATCTCCAGATCCGGACTCAAATAGAAACAGGGCCACTAATCCATACAGGCAGCTAGGTGGTGCCATAGCGCACAGGGTGGCAGGCCTAGAGTCAGGGAGACTCATCTTCCTGAGTTCAAATCAGGCCTCAGATACTTCCTAGCTGTGTGCCCTTGGTCAAGTCACTTAACCCCATTTGCCTCAGCATCCTCATCTGTAAAATGAGCTGGAGAAGGAAATGGAAAACCAGGCCAGTGTCTTTGCCGTGAATCCCCAAATGGGGCCATGAAGAGCCCAACACGACTGAAATGACTGAACGACAATCCGTATGTAAGGCCTCATGTGACCACATGTTGACTTAGTCTTAAAATGTAATATTACCTATATTTTATTGTACTTTTACCTATTTTGTTAAATATTTCCCAATCACATTTTAGTCTGGTTTGGCTGCACTGAGAAGTACCCTGAGCCACAAGTTTGACACCTCTGACAGAGGTGATACATTCTACGTCACAAATCCCCATATTTTCCCACTAGAACAACTTGAGAAACTTTGTTAAATGCTTGTTAAAATCTAAGTAAATGAAATCCATGCCATTCTCCTGATCTACCTGTCTATTTAAAAAAAAGAACAGGAAATGAAGTTAGTTTGTGGTGACCCATTTTTCTTCTGCCCTCTCTCCATATTCCCTAAGCATTCTTCCACTAATGCATTCTAGAGTTTTGCCAGGAATCAAAGTCAAGTCCACTGGCCTGGAGTGGTCAGTCTCTCCCTCCCTTTTTACCCATTTCTTTGTAAAGTAGATGATGTAGGTAGCTTTAGGAGAGCATTGGACTATGTCAGCCAGGAACCCTAGGAAGCATGCCCAGGTCTGTGATTAACCAGTTGTATGACCTTGGCCAAGGTGGTTAACCCTGAAAAGACCTCATCTTCCTCCACTGTAAAGTAAAGGGATCAAACTAGGCGATCTCTAAGGTTCTTCCAGGTCTATGCCTCCATTCTAATTCTTTCAGGACAATGGATTATGATTTAGAGCATTTATTTATAGTTCCTTGGGACAGATGGGGGTGGGGCTAAGGGGACAGATCAATGAATTAATGACTCATCCAGAGACACCTGCACTGGACTGAGTAGGACTGGGCTTGTTAATGTCATTTCCAGTTAGATCTGAAGGAACCTCCATTTCAAGGCAGGCTGGACCAGTGTCCATGATGCTAGCCACTGACTGAAGACTGCCCTTCATCCCAATGGGATGGTTCTTGAGCAGCGCAAGGCCGGGACAAAATTCTGAAAGTGCGTTAGCAGTCAAGCTCATCCCTTCCCCCTCTTTTTCGTTGCCTCCTGCCTCCTCCGCCCCCTCCAGCCAATGAGCGCTGTGCTTCACAATCTCTTCCTTCCAATCTATCCTTAATCTATCACAATTAAAATAACGTTTCTTCAGCAGAGACGGGATCTCCTTACTTGTGCGCTCGAAACATTTAGGGGCTCCCTGCTGCCTAGAGAGGAAAATCCAAACTCATGTTCACCCTGTTCCCTACGCCTGCAACACATTCTTTTCACCTGTTGAATTCCTACTTATTCTTGAAATCTCGGCTCAAACACCACATTCCTGTCCCACCTCTTCTCGACACAAAGTCTTACCCAGATTGCCCCTCGTGGTAACGACTCTTGTCATTGGAATGCCCCTGGCACTCAGCTTTGTATTTCTGGAACACATGGATTTGCCTGCCTCTGACATTCCCTACCTGTGTGACCCTGGACAAGTCACTTAGCCTGGGCCTCAGTTTCATTACTTGTAAAATTGGGAGGTTGAAAGAAAGGAACAAGCATTTTATTAAGCACCTACTGTGTGCCGGACACTGTGCTAAGTGCCTTAAAAATGTTTTCTCGTTTTATCCTCCCACCACCCTTAGGAGGTAAGTGTGGTTATTATCTCTATTTCACAGATGAGGAAACTGAGGCAGACAGAGGTGACTTGTCCAGGGTCACACAGCTAGCAAGTTGAACAAAATGGTTTCTAAAGCCCTGTCTAGCTTAGCTCTATGACCCTGCAATATATGTGTTTATGACTTTTCTTCTCCATCCAGAGGAAACTCTACGAGGAAGTGGGCTCTTGTCTACACTTGGCATCTCGAGCACAGTACTATAAACAATACATAGTAGAAGTTTAATAAATATTTGGTAAGTGAATACTGTCCCCAGGTGACTCTACCCCTTTCCTTTGCACTTATGTAACCCTTACAGGCCATACCAATGCTCTAGTCTGGGAATTCTTAACCCTTTGGGGGATCCTGGGTCCCTTTGACAGCCTGGGGAAGTCTATGGACTCCTTCTCAGAATCGTGTTTTGAAATGTGTAAGATGGAATGCGTAGGATTACAAAGGAAACCAATTCTATTGAAACATAATCATAAAAAGATATTTTTTAAAAATCCACAGACCTCAAGATAAGATCCATTTGCAGGCCCTTCCCCCTTCTTGCCTCCCAGTTAATTAATTAACTAGTTAATTAATCAGTCCAGGGTCTCTTTCCTTCAGGACCTCGATCAGTCAATAGAATAAAATAATAATAAAGTATAAATAATATAATAAACATAGATAATAATACAGTAAATTGTATTTGATTTCTTTTAACATGGGCAGGGGTGGGGAGCCCCAGGACTCTATAGTCCAATGTAACCAATAAGGGTCTCTACTACAGGCTTGTGATCTGATGAAGCCAATTTAAAAGGCTTGAGCTGGTAATAATTCTGCCCTTGAAAGTGCAGTCTTGAAATACGTGATAGGTGCATGCGAGAGAAATCCCTCTAACACTAGGTTTGGGGGTTAGGATGCCAACCCTAGGGTAGGAAAGGTCACTTTCTCCTGAGCATTGCCCCGAGCCGAGCTGTCCCAGATGTCTTGACCAGAACAAAGGGCCACAGGCAAAGAACAATGTCAACCACAGGCATTTATGAGAAGTACGATTAGACCAGTCTTTAGTGGAATAAAAGGACACAAGTAAAGTTGATTTGCATAAGACTCTCCTCCTTGGTGGAGGATGGTAACTCTATGCTCTCTGACTGATGACAAGTGGAGTTGGAGAGATCCTTGTCTTTGGCTTCCAGCACAATGGAAAGCTAGACTTCAATCTCACCGAAGGGAAAACTCCCTGAAGTCTTCAGTGTGATAAGCTAGGAACAGGGTCTTTCAAAGCTAGAAGCAAGAAGACAAGGATATCTCCTCTCCCAAGCTCTAGCCAATTCCACCCTTCATGGAGCCTTGAGTTATATTCTGCACCAGCGAAGAGAGTCCTCTTTCTGCAAATGGTTTGAGTACTGAGCTGCGTCCAGAAATGATGCCTGTTCCACCCACCTGAAGTAAGGCAGGAGGACAAACAAGCATTCCCAGTTCCTCTGGCTTTCCTTTCTCCCTCAGGGCTCCATGCGCCTGAGGGAGCATCTAATTTACAAATTAATTTTTTTTTAAAAAAGCCCCAGGACTTTGCCACTTGCTACTCCAGCTTTCATCTCTCCTGAGTCCCAGGAAGAGGCTCCCAAATTTGATGAAGGGCACCTCTGGGTGTCCCACTGTTACCTCCATGGTGATGCTGCTACTCTGGCTGTGTGTCTTCCCTCCTCTCCAAGTGATCTGTCTCCTCTTTGAGGGGCTCCCATTTAAGTCCCACCCCAGGACCAAATCATACAATGTTTCCTAGCCTCAGATGATAAGCAAAAAACTCTAAATCCCAGAAGTCTACGTGGGCTCAGGTCATTTTAACTTTTCTAAGGGAGGCATTACGAAGAGGATTTGCCTTCCAATCCCATTTCTGACCACTGTACCTATGAAACCTCATGCATGGGCAGGGGTTGAAATGACTAGGATGTAAACAATAATGACTCCTTCCCCGAAAAAATTTGCCTCTTGACACAACCTGTATGACCTTGGGTAAGTCATTTAACTTTCTGGTGACTCAGTTTCCTCATTACTAAAATGAGAGGGTTGTTTTACAAGAGGCTTCTGATCTATGATTCTTTGACCCTGTGAACAGAGTTTAAACCACACAAAGGACATTGCCAGAAATCCCCAGCCCCCATAAGTTATTTGAATTTTTTATGTTCCCTAAACTACTTATGACATCTCATTAATGAAAAGTTCCTATATACTGCCCTCACTTCCAGGCAATGTTTCTTCTACCCTTTGTAGCAGGAAACTATGCCCCATGAACAGCACATATGAAAACTGAAAATGGATGAACAGTGTTTTTAATGCTGTAATCTCATAAATCTTAGGACAAAATCAGTCCAATACACGAGAATCAGGAACACCTAGGTTCAGGCACTGCTTGTGATGCATGTCGCCCCTGTGACTCTGGGCATCTCCCCGTGTTTCAGACAATTTTGCTGTGGAGTTATGGAGCAGGCATCAGT